TATACCTTTTCTCCTTCTGATGTTTTGACCTAGTGTCATCGTAAAGAAATTTAAAATGTTAGTCTTAGTTATATATCAGTTTGTTTAAATCTGTTTTCAAAGGAATGCTGTCTAACACTTACATTTATTATTGGCATGTACAGTTTTAGAAACTAATATCAAATGAGTGACAATTTAGTTGCCATTTGACTATTTAATGGTGGGTATTAGAATTATTTGGGATGGTTGGATAACTTGCCAAGGGTTCAGAGCTGGATTTGGTGAATTAAAACACTAATCTGTCCTACCTCTTAGTCCCCTTCCCCCACAAAAAACCCCAGATCACTAAAATGACACATAAAGGGACTGAAACAAATCCAACAAGCAAAAACTAACTAGGACAAATAAATATGAAAGGAGATAACAGGTGTACAATTGTCAACTGATTTAGCAGAGAAAAGCAAGTTGTAATCTTAGTTTATTGAGGTGAAACCCATGAAGAAGCTGGTTTGTCTGCAAAACCCTCGAAAGCCATGGGAAATACAAACACTAGGTGCCGTGTAGCTCTGAAAACAAGAGGAATGGTTGAAAGTCCATATGACTTAGCAGTTGTGTTCCCAAGTCCTCTTGTGCACTGTCTCAGTCAGCTCAGGCTGCCGTTAAAAAGCACCCACCATAGATTGGCTTAAACAACAGGAATTTATATTTACAGTTCTGGAGGCTAGAAAGTTCAAGATCAAGGTTTCTGCTGGGTAGGCCTCTTCTTTTGGCTTATAGGTAGCCACAGTCTTGCTGTGTGCGCACACAGAGAGAATGTGCGAGTGCTCTTTTCCCCATCCTCAGGACTTTGTCTAACCCCAGTTACCTCCTAAAGACCCTGTCTCCAACTGCTATCACATTGCGGGTTAGGGCTTCGGCATATAAATTTGTGGGGGAGGGAGGGAGGTAAAAAAATATTTAATCCTTAACACACACCATACTTAAGTAGGGGACTTATTGTACAGCCTAGCAGAACAAAAGAGAAATCAAAGCAGATAATCTCTGAACTCATAAAGAGCAAGAGAAGGCATGGGACTTAAAAACAAGGAGATTAAACCAAAGACCATTACTGAGCAGTGAGGTCTCCACTATGCTTCTTAACACATTGATCCTAGAATGCTGAAAGTTTGGCTCATAGTACCACTTAGGAGACTGGAGAATTTTTTTCTAAGCAAAAAGACTGGTTCAAGAGAAAATGTTCATAGAACGGACATTTGGGAATCTCCACAACCATGAAAAATTAGTTCAATACCTTTTGTGGCTATTGTGAAGCTTACTCACATACACAGAATTTCTTTTCAACATTTTTGTGTTTGAGGTTTTAATATGAATGAACATAAAATTGTTACCAAACAAAAACATCTCAAATGAAAAAGTTACTGACTCAAAGGAACAAATAAAAAGAAACTTCAAGGAAACAGAGACAGTTCAGAAGTAGGGAAGTAAAACTATATTTATATAGTTTTTTGTAGTTTTAATATAAATACAGTTTTATGAAGGTGAGAGGTCCTCCTACTTCAAGTGATCCTCCCACCTCAGCCTCCCAAGTAGCTGGGACTATAGGTTCATGCCACTATACCCAACTAATTGTTGTATTTTTTGTAGAGACCAGGGTTTTGTCCTGTTGCCCAGGCTGGTCTCTAACTCCTGGAATCAAGTGATCTGTCCATCTTAGCCTCTCAAAGTGTTGGATTTACATGTGTGAGCCACCTTGTATGGCCTCAAAAAAACTATAATTATGATTTGTAAGAGAGAGAAAAGAACCAAATAACTGCAACAAAAATGCCACTTCAGAAAGGGAGAATGATGAAATAAATAGCAGTGATTGGTCAGTAGTAAATACAAAGTATTTCTGGACAAAAAGAGCAAGGATTCCTTTCTCCAAGGGTGGAACAATTTCGTTGATTAGTTGCTCTAGCAGTCCATGATTCTTTTCTGTAGGGGTGTCTCCTTTGTTAGAAAAGGTGTAATTTGGTATTTTTTCTAGAGTACAGTTTGAGAGTATGCATTAAAATATAAAACTTGCTCAATCTTCAGCCTGTTAATATGGTTTCTAGGAGTTTCTCATAAGGCTATAATTGTAAAGTTTCACAAAGATGCATGCACAAAAATAAACATTTTTTAAAGTGAAAAATTGGAAACAACATAAAAGTCTATAAAAAGGAGAATGGCAAAATATATATTAAATTTAACAAAACAAAACGAATAATGCTATACCATAGAGTTCCAAAAGGTTACAGAATAATATTTATATAGAAATTCATTATATAAAATATTTAATAAACAGCTCTCCAGAAGGATGTTTGCCTAAGTGCTATCAGTGATTTTCTTTGGGTAATGGGACACTGGGAAATTTTCACTTCTTTATATTTTTTATAATGAGCATATATCAGTTTTACAAAAATCAAAATACATTTTATTGAAGCATGTGGGTTTTGAGTAGCCTCTTGTGAATTATTTGTTTGCTTTACAAATTATCTGTGTTTAATTTTAAGATCTAAATTTTGGCTGGGCATGGTGGCTCATGCCTGTAATCCCAGCACTTTGGTGGGAAGCTGAGGTGGAAAGATCACGTGAATCCAGGAGTTCAATTCCAGCCTGGTCAACATAGAGGAGGGAGGGAGGGAAAGAAGAAGAGAGGGAAGAAAAAGAAAAAAGAAAAGAAAGAAAGGAGAAATTTTCCCCTTGCCATTAAGTATCTTTCTGAATCATCTGTCTCAATACCAATTGCAATTTGTTCAGGAAATCATCTTATTTTAGTAATAATAGTAGTCTGAAATGACCAAATTGGAAGCATAGATTAGTCTTATTCTATTACAGCAAAATCAAAATGAGGTCTTACTTGACATACTGATTACATTATGTAGCTTTTATTTACTATAGGTAATAACGAGGTATAATGTACTGGGCTGCTTTTAGTATTAGATAATTACTACTACTGATAATGATTATATAGGGTATGATTATTGTTGAAATAATTAAAGACCTAGTAACTTACCTAGGCTCTCTAAGTCTTAGCTGACTCATCTGAAAATGAGAAGAATGTGGACGAATACAGCAGTTTGTTGTGAGAGTTTAATGTGGTATTACTACATGTAAAGCACTTTCAACAGTGCCTGGAACCTCAAAAGTGCTGTTATTATCTGTAAGTTTGAGAAAAGCCAGTAACCCAGTTGTATTTTCTCAAGTGAATCTGTGATTTTACTTAGGTTATATTTCATGTAGGATGTTTCTTTCAAACAGTAATTTCAGGTTTATTCTTAAACTTAAGTTCAAAAATTGTCTTCTATTGTAGGATACTGTCAGAATTAAGAAATGACATTCAGGAATGAATTTTATAAACATTACATTGTCATTTTAACTAACGTACCCTCTTCAAATTTAGTTTTTATTGGACCAGTTAGGGAATTTAGCCCACTTATAACAAATCACTTAGTGATTTATATTAGTTTCACTTTGCTAACATTACCAGTTCTTTTTAAGCAATATTTGTGTTCTAAGTTATTAGTAACTCCAAAAATTTTATTATATATTTTAATTCTAAACATTTTTGTTTTATTTGTGTTATGTTTACCTCTTCCCAAGTCTAAATTGAATATTTTCAGTCTCATATAATTTTTTATCATTTTTAAGTCTGGTTATTTGCCTGGTATATATCTTTGCATATTTTCTCATATATATATTTCAAATAGGATTAGGTATTGTTTCTGATCCTATGAAATTCTGTGTGCATCTAGATTTACGTAGAATACAAAATTAAAGTCTGTTGTTAATACTTATACATTAATTATGTGGTAAGTCTACTCATTTGTTAATTAGCTGCCTTACATAATTTCATATAGTACTCATAATTTCTGAGTCATGTAATGATTTATATCACAGTTTGGATTTGTTTTTAAGGAAAAAACACATCTTTCATGTGATTTTACTTATTCTCTTGAAAAACAGATGAAAAGTAGCATAATTAAAAACAAGAATAACAGACTATCTTAAGTAGACTTGGACTGCTTGGTCACTTACTCTCAATATAGACTCTCTCCCTAAAAATGTTTTAAATAAGAACAACTATAAAAGATATAAATCTATTTTAAAATATTGGGTGTCCAATGAGTTCATATTTAAAGGAGGCTTGGATATAAATAGCATTCCAAATCTGAGAAAATATCTTACTTGCCTTTAATAACTTAATGAAAAATACATGAGTAGCAATACATATTTTTTAGTTTTGTTTCCACATCAGTGCACTGTTCTGGAACAGTATTTGGCTCATGGCTATTGGAGATACTGAGGCTGCAAAAGTTGAATATTCTCAGAAAGCTCTATTCAAACATCAAGTGCTTGGTCCATGATAACTAGTTGATAGTTATGTGAGCTTTTTCTGTAGCACATCAAAATAAAAATAGATACATTAACTTTATACACATTTATATTACCTGTTACATAATATTTCTTGGACTCATTTCATAGATTTAGTTTTTGAATCTGTGGTAAAATCTTGAGGTGACAACAATTAATAAATCTTTCAATTTTTTTAACAATGCCTTACTAGGAACGCAAGTAATCTATGATGATAGTTGTTCATCAAGCAGATATTTTACATTTCTCAGTTATCATCTAATAGCTTCATTGCTTCTGTTGCGGCAACCTAATAATAATCATTTTAGTGAGTAATTTTTCTAAACTTAATTTTGAAAAAGACATCATTTTCTGATTAATTTTTCAATTTTGACTAGTTGTTCTTAAGTTAGATTTCTTGTCATATACTCTGTTGAACTTGGGGCTAGGAAATGTATCTTGGCTGATTATAGAAAGGTGATTTTAGTGATTTTTTTCTCCTAAGCCTTCATTTTAGAGAACTTCTCATTTTTTCCTTTTGTAACTACTTCGATATTTCTGGACAAATGAATTCTACCAGCTACTCTCCTTGTTGATAGATCATCTGCTTCAGAGCCGTAATATCATTTGCTTATCATTCCTTGTAGCATCAGAGGCTCCTTGAAATGCTAGATACAGAGAAGGAACTGTTAAAAGAAAAAATAAAGGAAGCTTTGATTCAGCATTCTCAAGAACAGAAGGTAATACTTTCACTGTGCTCAGAGTGTAGAAAGAATGTGTTCTGTTACCTCAAATAATACATTTAATGTTTTTACAACTGTCTTATCATTTGACAGGAAATATTGGAGAAATGTTTGGAGGAAGAAAGGCAAAGAAATAAAGAGGCATTAGTATCCGCTGCAAAGGTATTTCCATCTGTAATAGTGGGTTGCTTGTAAGTGGAAATAAAAAAAATGAATATATTAATAGTATGCTGAATCTTTTATATAATGTTTCATTCCATAAAAATCAACATTTTTATTTTTTTATTTACTTTTAAACTTAAGATATGACTACTTATATTCTTATTAAATTCACATCACACAATATAATGGTAGCATTGAAATGCTTTACCATATAGGTTATTAGTTACTTGTTATAAAGAACATATATGTTGGGATACTAATATCCACCTGCGATTTGTTGGATCTAATTAGAGGTTGTGTGTGCATCTGTGTATCAAGGTAAGTAATTTTTAAAGCCAAGTTTAAAATAACTCATCTAAATCATGTATTCATAGATATAAAATATACACACACCAACAAATACACTTTTAACACTTACTTTTGAGTTTTAGATTTAAAATTAAATTTAGCAAACAAATATTGAATGTCTCATATCTATGTATCACTATGCCAGGGTTAAATTTAAGGGTGACTATGATTTTGTCTTTTTCTTAAATAATTTATAATCAGATAAGAAAAATATACCAAGAGGGCAAGGAGGAATGCATTAAATTGTTATGAGTATGTACATCATATGTCTATGTCTTCGAAGTTTTTAAACAATAAATTACTTTTGAATTCAGCCTGAAAGGATGGCTAGCATTCTGAACAGAGTTTGAATTTTATTCCATAGGGTAAGGGAGACATACTGACATTTTAAAAACATGTTTGTGATGTAATGGTAATTGACATTAACTTTTAGGAAATTAGAGGCAACAAAAGCTAGAGGCAGGGAAAGAATTCATAGAATGCATCAAAAGTCTGGCTACGAGATAGTGAGTGGTAGAAACAGACCAGTAGTAGTAGTTTGGAAAGGAAAGAAATAGGCAAATTCTGGAAATATGGAGAAGATGGAGTCAACATATATGTTTGATGTGAATAATATAGAAGGTGGCCAAGTTGTATACTGCTAGAGTATAGATTTAAGAACAAAATGGAAAGTAGCACTCTTTCTTTGGAATAGAGTTTGAGGTGATTTAAAGCAAAAAGTCGAATTTTAGAAAATTTGTATCTGTTTTCCAATATGTATGTTCCTGATGAGATTTATGGTAACATTAACAAATGTGATTTTAAAATTTTGGTACAAAGAAGTGTGTCAGCATCTGAAGAAGACATGTAACTCAGTAAATCAATATTTTTCCCATAAAAATGTTAAAAATTATGTATCGATAAATGATTCATTCAGAGTACAAGAAAGGACTGTAATATAATAACATGAAAATTTCATTTGACATAATTTTATTTTCATTATGCCAACTAACCTTTAAGAACTAGTCCTTGTCAAGTTCTGATGTGAAATCATCAAGAATATCTACAATTATCTAAACTGGCTACTAAATACTCAATTTTTCCTACTACCTATCTGTGTGAGACTGGGTTTTCTTTATATACTTCAACTAAAAAACACCATTACAGATTTCACACAGAAGGGAGAAATAGGAATTAATTTAGCTGTCTTGTATTAAGTCAGATATTAAAGAGGTTTAAAGACACATACAGTGGAATTTCCCTTTTTTAATTTTGGAAAGCAGTTATTTTTCATAAAATATATTAATATCAATGCAGTTAATGATATTAATTTTAAATGAATTAATTTTATTTTTTCTTGAATTTCTAATATGGTATGTATTAATATATATGATCAACATAAACAAAATCTCTTTGATATCCTCAATAATTTTAAGATTGTAAAGGGATCCTTAGACTATATAGTTTGAAATCTGCCACTTCACCCTAAGACCTGATTTCTTTGAAGATTAGAAATGCCATGGAAATTAAGTAGGAATATTTGTATAAAAAAGAATAATAGATTTTATTTTATAGCAGTTATTTACTATGCATAAAAACAGCAATGTGAGAACTGAACACTATAGGATCAAAGTTTTTTTATCTTTTAGGTTAACCAAGTCTGTCTTACTCAAGAAATCATCATGCAGTCAATCTTTCAAATTTGTTCTGGTCTTTATTTATTTTGAAGCTTGAAAAAGAAGCAATGAAGGATGCAGTTTTAAAAGCCATAGAAGAAGAAAGAAAAAATTTGGAAAAAGCCCATGCTGAAGAAAGGGAATTATGGAAGACAGAACATGCAAAAGATCAAGAAAAAGTATCTCAGGAAATTCAAAAAGCTATACAAGAACAAAGAAAAATAAGTCAGGTTAGTAATATTAACTGTTTGTAAATTTTTTTTTCTCATTTTTCTCAAAATGAAGTACCCTTACTCTTTTATTTTACTTAAAACAACCTTAGTAGATATTTATGACTTTTTAATTTTTAATTTTCATTTTGATGTTAATATTTTGAATTAATCATTTTTAATATTTTAATGTGCTTTCATCTTTCTGATATTGAAAACTTAGTAACTGACCATTTTACCCTTTTACTTTATTTTCTAAAAGGTCAAAACAAAATTTATGTTTAGTAATTGCAAATACATTAAACTTTGTGTTATTTTTCCTTTTCTCATACATAGAGGCAAACACACGACACACACATGCACACAAACTCAATCAATACAAAATAATATATTTGTGTAGAAAACAATTTGATTCAATTAATTTATAATTCTAATTTGTAAATCTCTATACCTATAGTTGGTAACAATAATTAATAAAACCTCACAAATATTCCCTATAGTCTCATAAAGATACATAACGATCAACAGGTGTGGCCTACATGCAAAATAACTTTTGATTGTTTATCTGAACAATTAAAAACACTACCTTAGTTTGTTTTTCTGTGATTGAATTTGCACAGTCCTATTTTATAATTAGTCTTTTTATATATATATAGGCAGAAGTACTTAAATAAATCTTCCCTTAAGTATCAAAAGCAAAAGAAGTCGGTTTCTCATGTTCAAGCTGTTAAATATACTACAATTTTTCATTCACATTATAAATGCAGCTAAAATGACTAACCTTTCAGATCAACCCAGATTTTTTTATGACTCATTAATCTTAATGAAGCCTTAAAAAGTTCAGAGTTTTTAATACCCCAGATAAAAGTTACATTTTTTAAAGATGTCACTTGTTTATTCTCAGGAACACACAGTTACCCATTTGTTATAAAAATTAAACAGATCTGTAGGTAGCATCTATGGTAAGATAACAGTACTACAGTAGCAGATCTTTTTTTTCTTGCATTTTTTCACTAAAGCAGTATTACCTTTTAATTCTTACTATAATCTATCAATAAATGTATATTGAGTACTTATTGCATATAAAATGTTTGTCACTTCAGTTGGTTGGAATTTCATGCCAGTAAGGTCAAGTTCATTGGCTAAGTTCTTATTTGGGAGAGTTTATTTAAATTTGTTTTATGACCCTGAACATTCCTGTAACCTCACATAGATGTGGGCCATTCATCCCTTAAATTGGGTAAGAAGGCATGAAAAAATCAACACATATTCATCATCCTAATGGAAAAATATATATCTTAAAGAGCACACTTCTCTGCTGATTTGTCAGGAGTCTACAAGAAACATGCAGTATATGATACACTACTTTGAAATTTGTCCTCTGTAGGTTCAGAATATGGTGAAGACAATCTAAACATGTCTTGAATAAATTACATTAATTTCCTTACACATGTTTGCACGTTTTGCTAGAAAGTCTCTGCCAAGTTAAATTATATATCTCTGTATCATTTGGGTGGATTTCACGACATTTATTTCTTTGTTTGGAACACTGTTCCTTATTTATTTTTCTTGACTCTGTATGTTGGTTTCTATCCATTAGAAATAACAGCTACTTCTCACCTCTCACAGTCTTCATTGACTGGCCTTGTACTGGTGAAGAACCACACCAATCAGCCTGATCAGAGATTTTGTGGGCCTCTCAAACTTATGCTAATCCATACTGTTGTGTTTGTTGTTGGCACCCCAAAGCTGTCTAAAGTACATGGTGTTCCAGTGCTCGCAGATAGGTGAGACAGAAGCCAGTCTCCCAGGAGCCCCTGGAAAAATTAGAACTTTGGACATGTAGTCCAACTCTTTCCCTCCCCAGGGAGAAGCTGCAATCTGAGGTTTTTTGCCCTCTTTCTTGGACTGAGCAGGGGGGTGGGCTATAGCAACTGTTTGCTTGTTAATTTAATCCACCATCTTTGTTCTCACTGGCCCCTAGGCATCAGTAGTATGCCAGGTCGTGTTACTGCTCTGATATAGGTAAGACAGAAGCGGATAACCTGGGCAGTTTCTAGGAAGGTTGATTGGACATGTAATCCAACTTCCTCCCCACCAGAGAAGTTGAGAGCTATGGAGTTCCTTTGGATCATATGGCACTGTATTGGGTATAGGGATTGTGGTGAGAGTTAGGTCTTGAGTTTTCCTGCCAGTTCAATGTAGTTGGTTTCGTGCTTGCCCAGGGTGAAGGACCCTCTCAATTTGTGTCTGAATTTTCCACAAAGGGTATTTGTGCATGCATCGTTGTTAATTGAGTGTGTCCATGGAAGGACAAAGGATCCAGGGTTTTCCTGTTTCACCTCTTGTTGACATCATCTGGTATTTTAATATTTTTCTAAATTCCCAAGGTAAAGGAAAAAGTAAATTAATAATGTATCTGATTATAATCATTAAACAAAATGAAAATTATGCTAGTTGTAAAATACCAGCTACAAGAAAAATAAGCATGTAGGAAACATGCAGTAAATATCCTTGAAGGGTACACTTCCCAGAAGATGCTTTTAATGACTTAATTGTATTTGTCCAAAATTTTCAAATAAGTTTATAGATGGCATTTATTAATTAATCATATTAGTTTCCTAGGAAAAGCCAATTGGAAAAACTATTATATTAGTACAGATTGGTTTGTATAAAGTCCCATGAGTTTAATTAATTGCCCTAAATTAGTTTTGTTGCAAGAATAGAAATATAATTTATAAATAGACTTTACCCCTGGGCTGCTAGTGATAGGAATCTGAAATACTGCCTCTTCATTCTGTGCATATCCTGGAGGATTTTAACTATGAGTTTCACATTTATAATTAATGTCCTTGTTACTTCTTTTAGGAAAATCCCTCAAATAAAGGGCATTACAAAAGCTGACAGATCATTATCTGATAACAATAAGGGAAACAATAATAGTTCCCCATATTCAAGTTTCATTAAGTTGCCTTTATTCTAAGCAAATATATTAAGCTAGTTTAGCTAAAAAGGTATTTTTATTTATTTTTGTTTTTGTTTTTTTGTAGCTTTGCCTGCAGAAAATAGTAGCAGTAAGATAACAGCAGAACTGGTGGTGGTGGAAATGGCAATAATTAACAATACTGACTTATTAATTCAATTCTAAGTGCTGAGCACTTTTCTAATTTTTTTAGATGTTTCATCTCAATTCCTCACAACCACCTTATGAAGTAGGTACTATTATTATCCCCATTGATACAGATGGGGAGACTAAAGCTTACAGAGATTATGTAACTTGTTTTAGGCCATGTGACTTTTTAGAAGAGTCAGCAGGCAGTATTCAAGTTCAGGCAGCCTAACCCCTGAGGCCTTGTAATTTGCCACTACTCGATTCTATCTCCCTGTGTTCTCATCTTAGTATAAAGTACAGATTTATGTCATTTATCATTTAATATTTGAAATGATCCTAGGAAATTAACAGATAAGTTGTATAGGGAAAACTTTAAGATGTTACTTTTATGTATTCATCCATTCTGTAACATTTATGGCACCTCTGCCATGTATTGGCACTGTTAGACGTTTCTGACACACAACATTAAGCAAGATAGACAAGGCCCCTGTGCTTTCATAGAGCTAACATTCAAGTTGGAAAAGAGCTATGATAGGCAAGATAATGCCATGTGGTGCTGTGGGCTAGGAAGAAAAAATTCGGGGTTATATATTTAGCTGACAATGGTTGTAGGGGATTTCTTTAGACAATATAGTTAGGAAAGAAGCCAAACTCAGTAAATTTTCATTTCATATAATTCAATTTATATGAGATTCTAGAGAAGAAAAAAGTGATATGAGAGAAGACACATAAGTAGTTACAAAATCTAGGGGCAGGGGAATTTTTTGAGGGCGATGATAATGTTTTATATCTTGATTGTGATAGCGCTTCTATTTGGCAAAACTTAGCAAATTACACACTTAATATTCGTGAAAATTATATGTAAGTAATACCTTAATAGAGCTGATTTTAAAAAACAAATGACTTTCAGAATAACTGGATGGATGGTGATTTTGGATGTAATTTCATTTACTGAGGTGAGAAGAGGTTAAGTTTCATGGGGTTAAAAAATCTAATTTGTGACCGGGTGCGGTGGCTCAAGCCTGTAATCCCAGCACTTTGGGAGGCCGAGACGGGCGGATCACGAGGTCAGGAGATCAAGACCATCCTGGCTAACACGGTGAAACCCCGTCTCTACTAAAAAATACAAAAAAAAAATCTAGCCGGGCGAGGTGGCGGGCGCCTGTAGTCCCAGCTACTCGGGAGGCTGAGGCAGGAGAATGGCGTAAACCCGGGAGGCGGAGCTTGCAGTGAGCTGAGATCCCGTCATTGCACTCCAGCCTGGGCTACAGAGCGAGACTCCGTCTCAAAAAAAAAAAAAAAAAAAAATCTACTTTGTGTGTATTAAATGTGTGATGCTTATTCATGAGCCTAGAGGAAATGTTGAGTAGGCAGTTAGAAATATAGACATAGAATTCAGGGGAGTTGTCAGGGCTGGAAATAGAAATTTTGGATTAATAAGCATATAGTTGTTATTTAAAACCAAATAAATAAAAAGGAAATATTTTCTGGATAGGGTTTTATGACATTCTTTTATGGATTGTGTCCATCTTCTACCTAGAAAGAATATGGCCACTTTAGATTAATGTGTAATACTGTAAATAGTTTCACACATAACAGTTGTACTTCAGATGAAATAATGAAAGTGTTAAACTTATTGGTGCTGTCTGTGTCACCCTGTAACCCATGATTGAGTAGCCAGGCATTCATCCAGACTTTCTAGGAAGCTCAGGTCACCACTATGAACAGCAGCTTCTGCCACTTTCTACTGAGCCCCTGCCTAGATGCAGAGGCCAGTGCTCATTCTGTTGGGATACATAGAGCCTGAAGAGGCCCTCTCCAGGGACCTACCAGCTGTTCTGAGTATTAACTGAAGGGACTGACTTTTTAAAAACTTGGAAGCCATTTTTAAATTCTAAGGTGTAGGTCA